CCAAGGCATATGCATATCATGGAATGCCTACACTTAATTTTAAGTCCCTTCTTCATGTAAAGTTGCTGCTTTTAATTTGAATATTCAATTACAGGTTTTTACTATGTAGTCCGTAAGCAAGAACTTGAACTTAGGACCTTCAACTACATCACAAAGTTCTTATGAACTTGAAGAAGACAGTCCTGGGTGACAGCAAAAGAATGATATTCATTATGTGAAGACCATCCTAGAGTTAGAGATCTGTCATATGTGCTAATAAGTCAAGGACTTTCTGCGAGGAATATAAAATGCCCACAGAAATAAAGAGTAAGTGAACATGGGTGACTATAGCCTGAAACTCAGAATGGGAAACAAATGGGGAGAAGCACAGGCAGTCTTGAGATTAGAAAACCAAAGGGAATGAGATGGCTCAATTTGACCAGACTTGTGGTTAGCAAGACAGAATTCCCTGTTGGTTAGTAGCTTAGTCCTGTTACAATATGATAAAGGATAAAACTGACAGAAGGGCTGTAGTACACAAGGTAGCTGTGGCAGGGAATATGAATGTGCTGATTCCTATCAACTTTCAACAGTAACAGCAATTTGCTTCAATAGCACACAGTCACTTGTGTGACACAAACTGGCACTTCCTTCAAAACATTTTCCATAAAATGAAGAAAACTGAAAGATGACGTGGGCAACTGAGGTCAAAAAAAAAGTTTTTAAGGAAAAACAGTAAGTATGTTGAGGTGAGAAATACAAGAGGCAGGGAGTTGGACAGTAGGTTTTGTGATGGAGTCTACGCTACAGGGCAGAACAGCTTCTAAATCTGGAAGTTCAAAACTATTTAGCCATGGGATTTTTTGTTCCAGATAGTTCTTGGATGCAACGATCCAGATTAGATTACTGTAATGCACTCTACAAGGGGCTACATATTACAACTTCTTGGAAACTGAAGCTAGTACAGAATGCTTATTAAGCTCATTTTCATGCTAGGAGTATTACACCCGCACTCCAGGATACACACTGACTGCCAAAATGTTTCCAGGTGGAATTCAAGAAAGATTGCCAACTCTCAAGCCAAAACTGAAGAGAATAAATTTCAGTTTTTGTGCAAAGCTGCAAAATTATCTTTTTTTTCCAAGTTTTTTTAAGACTAGTAAAAACGGTTAATATTGCAATGTTATTGACATGGCAGCACTCAATCTCCAGAAATTTATTTATATCAAATAAAAATCAGATGCACCAACATAACCAGGGATCACATCATGACTCACTGTAACATGACCATGCATATGGGCAGGGAAGAGTTAGAGTCTTCCTACTGTTTGGGAAGTTTTCTTACAACTTCACCAGAGTTTAGGTCCAGACATACAAAGGCAAAAAAGGTCACCAATCTATGTCTCTCCCTAACAGAAGAGCAAGAAAGGGAATAAAAGCAAGTGGCTGGATACTTGGCTTTGGACCCTAGCAGCAGACAGAAGATCTAAACACATCCATTACATCTCTAAAAAAGGTGTTCAACTAGTTCCTTCAAGAGAAGTCAGAGATCCTACCCTTCACTACATCTAGAGCCATGTTCCACATGCTGCTCATAGCAGGATACGAAATCAACAGTTAAAAAAACAAACATGATCATTTAAAAAAAATCTGAACAGAATAGCTCCATGTAAAAAGCATGCATTCATATATAAGTGTATATTTCTTCCAAGAAGCTGGTGATACACCATTTTCTTTAACAGAGGTACATAAATGTCTGAGTCTTTTCCACAAACATGTACTCCAGTGCACATGTACATACTTTACAGACATACATAACAACATGCATTTCTTTACATAAATGGAGCATGTAAGTTACAAAATTCAGTATTATGTATATAAATGAGAAATGTTTCAAGATTAACACTGTACGTTCAAGTATTTTAAAAACTCCTCCCTAGAATTCACTAAATTAAATAGCATTTAAGTTATAATATGCACAACTTCCTTGTCTCTTTACAAAATTAAAAATGCCCTCTGATGATTTGCAAGTTTAGTTTATTTTCTCAGTTTATTCTGTGCTTTCAAACCACTAGCTATATGCTGGATTATAATAATCAAAACCTACACATCTAGAATTTGCGTGCAATATTGAATGAGAAGTGTAGGTTTGTATGTATAGCACATGGAAATCAAATTGCTGCACAAACAAATGCTGTACAGAATGGTAAATAACAACACAGAAAGGAAAGAAAACAATAAAATCCATAATTGAAAATGTAAGATAAAGCACTGACTAGAGTTCAACCATGATTATCCTTGACTGCGCTGTTCTCAAAGATTATTTCAGTGAGGATTTTGCTACGGATCCTCTATTTGCTTGCTTTACAATTAAACATATGCTGGGCTAATCCACTGTTCACAGAGTCTGTTGAAATTTAGGGATGACAGTATTTCAGGAGAACACCTATTCCAAGTCCAACACAAGATGAAATAAAGCTATATTTATCTAACCTGTTCTTAAAAATCTCCAAGAGAGGACCTTCTATTACATGTATATGAAAGAATGTCCACATTTTGTTTCCGCTTACAGATTCGTTAGACTCATAATGAAAAAGTTTTCTTTTTAATAACCAACATAGTTATTCTTGGCAAATTTAAATTTACTGCTTCTACTCTTTCTCCATTGGGCACTGGAATACAATTGATCATCGTCTTCTTTACAACAACATTTTATGTATTAGAAGACTTATGTCTCCCCTTTGGTACTTCCTAGACTAAACAAATCATGTTCTTTAAGCCTTCCTTACAGGTCATGTTCTCTAAAACTTCTATCATTTTTGTTGCTTTCCTTTTGTCCCTTTCTAATTTGTCTATGTTTCTTAAAGCATGGTGATCAAAACTGTATACAGCTTTTCAGCTGAGGTCTCACCAGGCACAAAAGAACAGAATAATTGCTTCCTGCTTCTCTTCCAGTATTATATAGAACCCAGAATTAGATTCTACTTCATTGCAATGGTATTCCATTGTGCAATCCAGATTACTTTTTCCATACTATTACCTCATCAGTACATGTGAACTCTCTCTTGTAAATGGACTTCACAGAGTTTCAGATTAGTTATTCTAGACTTTCTCCAGTTTATCAAGACTGGAGTAGCTTATTGAGCAGTTTAACAGCTCCTATTATACTTGGAGCTTCTTACAGCTTGGTTCATTATCAACAACATTCATGTTTTTTTCTATTCCACCACTGAAATAGTTTCTAATACAATACTCCACAGAAGCAGATAAAGGACAGATCTCTTTGCAACTCTGCCACAACTAGCCTGTCTGACAAAGAGCAACAGAAAATTTGCCTGTGGCATGTTGTTTGTATCAGTTGCATACCCATCTCATGGTGATTTATAGTTACAGTTTTTATTATTGTAATTCAGTTTACTTGTGAATTACATTATAAAATAGTGCATTTCTTTGTATATTAAAACAATATGGTGGGACAGTGTTAAAGACCTTATTGATTCAAAGTACATCACAGCTATCACTTTCTTCTTTTGCCACAAAATCAGATACTCTATTAAAGGAAACTAGATTTGCTTTACATAATTACTCCATGACAAATTCAAGCAGCCCAAAAATGTCACCTAGCAAAAAGTGCAAGAATAAAGGGAGCACAGAGTGATAAACACTCTCATATCATCAAGAATGTAAGCCAAAAAATAGTTTATCTGGTCTAGGATAGGAACCACCAGCTGGTGTTGAGGAAAATAAGAATGAAGCAACTATAAGGTGATCTGATATACAATGAGATGGATGGATTGATAAGGTCTGATATGATCTGATAGGGTCTATGGTCTAAAATAAAGTTATTCCTACATCCCAATACATTTTATTTATAAAGATGAGAAGAGTTTTGCCTTCTTTAAGGCTCCAACGGTCTCCTATATTCTACATGAAATTGTTCAGTATAATCATAAATATTTCAGAGTAAAACTGAGAGTGATAGTACTAGCAAATACTAGTAAAATAGCTAGCAGTTTACATGTTCTGCCTTTAATCATGTACCCATTTCTATCATTCATATAATGTCTTCATCTTCTTGAAGATGTCTTGATACAGATGCTCATTATGCTTCTTATCCATTCTCTTCTCTGCATAACCTGCTACCATGCATTGAAAAGCACCTTTTTCACTAAATATTAGCTCTCTTACATTGTCTCATCCCTCAAATTCTTTTCACAAGTTCATGTTTCTTGCAATAGTTGAAAGCAGCATCGGTTTCAGTAACACCACGGTGGTAATTTCCAGTTTTTTCACATCTCTTGCCTTCATTCTGTTTTTGTCATTTTATTCCTTGCACTAAGGAACATTTTCGTTCACAGAAATTTTCAGACAATTTTACCTTCTTTTATTAGCTCAACCAACTTATTTCTGTCAATCAGAAGAGACAGCAAGTCCTTAATACCCCTCACCCCTTTTTGAAAAAAAAAGTGTTCTCAACATGTTCCAAGAACTTGAAGGGTTCTGTGTTATGTTGTTCAGATTCTGGGGTGGTTTTTTTCACTTGGTATCCAAGAAATTGAGTTTTCTCATACTTACCAGTACAATTCTAATGGTCATTCTAAAAAAAGCATCATTTGCCTCTGCTTCCTATTCCCAATTAAGTAGTCTATCATACATCCCCATTACAACTTCATCAATATATTTCCCTTTTGTTTCTACCCAGACTTTACGAACTTATAGCCTATTTTAGTATCAACAGTGATTTTTCAAATAAAAGCAATGTTTAATTTTTCCTCAGGGTTCTCCATTTGAAAAGGAGTTACTTGTTTCTATAGACTGTTTTTCCTACTCCAGATAAATAAAACACCAGACAAAAAGCCAAAATTTTAAATTCTTTAGGGTATGGAAATAAATACCAGAACTATTAGTTTCAGTTCAAAGAACACCTTACTTGCTTACTGCTTCTTTGGAAAAAATATTTTATTTTGAAGTAGCAAAATAATAAAATTATAAAAATAAAGGTGAAAAAAGAGGTGACCAACCTGATCTGGAGAGGGTCTGTGGTTGGAGTGTTGTGGCCTCCCAGGAGATCGATGATGGTGGTGGTGGTGATGGTGGTGGTAGTGGTGATGGTCATCATCATAGTTATCTGCCATCAGTTTCATTCTGTTTTGTGTCTGTTTCAGATGTAAAGCAAGACAATTATATTACATATTGGAACATATTACTGCAACAGTGTTTTAGGAAGATCTTGGCTCTCTTTTTCTTTTTTTTTTTGAGCTTCAATCATCTAAGTACAGAAGTGCAGACTGCTGGCTTACAGAGAAAAGGAAACGGAAATAGAAAAATATAACAAAATATGTGAACACACCCTCTGTTTCAGCTTTCACATCTTTCACATCCCTAGAATTGCACAAAGAAGTCAGAAAATTAAATTATCAAGGATGTTGAAGTCTTTATTTTTTCCAGTCTAACATTATGTCTTGGCAATTAACTTTTTGAATCTCACTGAAAGGAATATTAAGTGTACTTCAAATATTTACAGTTAGCTACTGAGGCATGTCAACAACAATCATGAATAGTTATGCTAAAAGTTCTATTTTGGTTTAATTATTTTAATTATATATTAGTATTACCCCACTAAATGGAAAGTAAAAAGAATCTGAAAATTAACTGATATAGACACAGGCACTTTGAGAAATAAGTGATTGTGGAACTTGGCATGTTACTGAATGGGAAGTCTTGGATATAGATCTTGAAAAAGAGATCAACACTTCAGCTACAGCTGTGTACAGATAATAAAATCTATGTCACCACGAGATAACAAGATATATTGCTGCTCTTTATCACTATTACAATTATTCCATACCATGAAATACATAGACTGGAATAATTCAAACCTTGCTCATAACACCAAAAATATCTTACTACCAAGGGTCTGATACCAGTGGATACACTACTTATATTTTTCTGCTAGTAGAGTTGAAGACTGTCTCAGTCAAACCTGTTAACCTGCAGTCAAGTTTTACTTAACTTTTGCACTAACAAAACCCAGAAGAAAATTCTGTCAACTCTGAAAGACCTCTTCCAAAATTAAAATCAGTTAGAGACATATGCAATTAATATCATGCAGATGACTGAAGGAAAGATAGAAGTCCTAACATGCAGGATTCATGGTAACTCCAGTGAAGATGATGGCTAAACACACTGCCCCTGGACTTTGCCCAAATTAATGACTTCTAAAGGACCAACTTAAGCAGATGAATTTAAGCATGACTCATTTGTTTGGGTATATTCCTGTATTAACAGGTCTAACCAGCTTCTAATTTGAAGTACCCTTGAGTGAACCGGTGCACCATATCTAGTATGTGCTGAATTTACTACCAGGACTATTGCAAATTGATTTTCCTATGAGAACAATCCTATACCAAAATCTGTTTGGAAAATTTCACTGGTAAGTATATTTTAATAGAAAATGTAAAACTCAGTGATTGCTATAAAATTCCCTAATTTTAATGTTTTTTGCTAAAGTTAAAAAAGGATTTGAAAAAAATACCAGGCAAACTAAATATATATATTACATAATATTTCAAGTATAACAAAATCTAATGTGAGGAAAAGTATGAACCACGTGGATCATAGGAAATCCTGATGTGTCTCTTTAGCGATTAATTTGTTTTTAAATCATCACAATGCCGCTCAAGCACTTCACATGATGTCCATAGAAGAAGAAGGACCACAGAAAACTACTTTACAGGAAGGGACCTGTACTCAGTTCAAGTCAAAACAACCAACCAACCATTCAACCCAAACCAAACCAATTCAAAACCTTAAGGTACCCACAATAACAAGATAGAGGAAAATCACAGATCAGATGTGCACTGTCTCAGACTCTTTCTGAGCATCTCTATAGTACTAAAAGGATATTTCCTCAGTGTGCTACAGAATAAGAGGAATCTGCATGGTTGGAACTATTTCATTTCCTCAATCCCAAACAAGAAGATGGAAGCCTAGAGTTGCATGAACTTCAGCTATGAACTTCTACCAGTTTTGTTAAAAAGACCATCTCAATCTGAATCATCATAGCTCATCTGCTTGTCTTGAGATTCAAAGAGGAAGAAAAGAGTGCAAAAGATGGAGAATTACTAGACAAATAATAACCCGCTTACTGTAAACACTGTAATACTCTGCCTCTTTGGGGAAGCTCCTAACATTTTATTAGTTTATTTTCTTATCAATGAACAGCCTTAAATTTCCTACCTTTCAACTGTATTCCATAAAAGAATGCAAAAGTTAAACAAGATGATATATGCAATCCTAAAAGTGTCCCCTGTAATGAGGTGTTGGGGATTAGGTGTGTCATGGGATAAGAACTGTAAATGAATGATGTCATCTTTCTAATTTGGTGCTGAAATATAAATAAACTACTTCTAATGTTTCTTCCTCTTGGATGCCAGATTGCAGTAAAATGTGCACAAAGAAATGTTAATGCTCTAGTAGCCTTCCTTTAGTGTGCCTGTTCTGGAAGCAAGATATATATAAGAAATGTGAAACTGGAATTTCTTTTCCACTCAAGCGCTTGTCAAACCATCCAAACTTTGACATGATTTGTGATTGGCATTCATATCTTAAAATGATACTAAATATTTTGAATTTTTTTTGCTAGCTCATCACAGTGATAAGAAATATGATTTTCAGGTTCTGTTTCTCTTTGCTTTAGCTGCTGCCTGAGCACTGTACTTCCATGCTGAACTATATTTTCCAGGTATGCTTAGCCTTGACTTAGAAAAGTACAAACATGGTATGATTTCAAACTTCTAAAAGCAGGACATTTGAGGAGGATGAATAGGAGGATTTCTGGAGGAGAAACAAAAGTAAAGCCATCCTGAGGAACAATACAATCCTTTACATGTTCCTCTAAACAAAAATCTGCAACATTACTTCTGTTTGTATCCCTTGCTACCTTTTCATCTTCAGTAGGCTTTGAAATGTCAGGTATAGTTTTATTTGAGGAAGAAATTAATTAACCACATTGGAATCTGTTCAGGACCTCAGGGCTTCACACTCCTCCACCTACATGCAAGCACATATACAAACACACAGAAAGGCACATATGTGTTAGGACACTGGTTTATTAGACAGACAGTAAATCCTAATGGTCTGGGTCCCATATCAACACATTCAGGGTCTGCTTCAGTACTGTCTGCACAGGGAAAATACCACATACTGACTTGGCAATGCTATGACTTCTGCAACATCTTCAGCATACCTGAAAAATCTAATATTCAAGAACATCCAAGGCCTTTTCTTATATTACCTTTGAAAGTACAATGGATTATTAATATGATTTTTTCAGATGATTGGAAAATTGAAATTTTGAATTTCAATTTTGATCTTGAAATTTGGAATTAAGGAAAATTAGAATGATGACCATACCTGCATTTAAATTGTGCCATATCAAATGTGCATCATGCATTACTCTGCCCAAATCACTCCATAACTGAAAGAGTTGTATTGCATAGGTCAAAATTTTATTCATATGGGTTCCTCAAAATTTACATAGCCACAGCTCTGAGAACAAAATTGTCATACCAACAGTTCTTTTTGAAAATGCCTGGTGAACACCAAGCCCACACCTGAGAAGGAGAAGGTTTTAATTTGGATTTATACTAGAAAAGGAAAAAAGTTACCTTGTAAAATGCAACAATTAATTAACTGCATCTCCTCCAGACCATGTATGGCATTATTAGTTCTAGCATAAACAGTGTCCTCTGATTTTTTTTGCTGCAAATTTATTGACTACATTCAATAAATACTACATCCATTTTGAAATAAAGGAAGGATAGAGGAACTAAAAGAAGCTTAGATCTAGGTACACAGGTATATTGACCCTTAGGGCTTGAAACAGTTGTCTTTGATCATTCAATATCACTATTTGCTAAGCTGTCAAGGTCATGAATGGTATGTGTAACTGAAGTTTTAACCCACTTACCAAAGAATTTATGATCCAGCACTGTAAGAAAACTGACAGATATTTCTTGTCCTCCTAAAATTCTGTTGAGTTTAAGAAAGGATATACTGAAGTGAAATGAAAGTCTTTGATTGACTGGTAACAGACTAAATAGCTTAACAGCAATCTGTAACTGTAAAACTATAATATTAAAACTGTCTTTTAAAGAATATTTTAGCAAGGTGGCAATAGGGAACTATGCTTTGATCTGTCATCTGGATCAAGTTAACAACAAAACTCTCATGAATGAGGTTCAAATGAGGAAAAATAGTAAGATTTGTTGCTCTGGGATATAGGTGTAATACAATTCAATAGCTAGTACTTTCCTTTGGATTTTCTTCTCAATCTCTCTTCACTAAATGGAATTTGAAATATTTCTAGAATATTCCCTTTCAACAGGGAAGGATTTTCCCCTATATAATATGTGAAGGAGGCAGATATAAGGCTTACAAGCTATCCTGGGTATACTGTGATCTAATTAGCAAAGCATAGAATTTAACATCTAAAGAACCACATTCTAGCTTCGATTCTGCAATGGCTTCTTGTTGTGTTCAATGACACAGAAAATCTATTTCTTGCAATCTCACTATTTGAAAATAAGCATTCCAGTATTTCAAAAAAACACTGAGTGTGTGGCAGGCATTTAGCACTAGCCTATATGATTTTCAGTACAGAATGATTTAATGTGAGCATTTTCTTCTAAGACAATATTTAGAAAACACACAAAGGTAATGATCTAAAAAACTACGTGCTTCAGACTATGTAGTTCACCAAGTTTATCCAGAAGTTGCATAAACTTAGTGGAATTAACCTGGATTTAATGAAAGCATGTGCAACTGCAAATGGTTTTCCAGTATGAATCCAGTGCTTCAGGCCTGAATTCCATTAACTGAAGGTTAACAAAATGTTTGCTAATTAAGCCAGCTCTGTACTTACTCTCTCCAAGTAAAATCAGTTTTCCTGTTAGAACAATACTTTTACACATTCCTTGAAAACAGTCATTGTCAGAAGACAAGGGAAGAATTTCTTATCATTTCTACTGCTGCACAACACAAAAGTTGCTAACTGCCATAGAACACAATTTATAGAAGATTTGTTATTTGATAAGTTCCAGTTAATTAAATATTGGACTTCAAATGCTGTACTTGGCCTTCAACATTCCTAAAG